CCCCTCCCCGCGAAGCCTCACGTGAACTGAGATGTGGCAGGCGCCAGCTGCATGTGGCCACAATGACGGAGAGCGGGGATTTGTCATTTTATCTCATGGCCGCTGGTTCAGCGGCCCACACGCATAATCGGGTCAGACCCTGGGCAGCTTAGCTGGCTGGAACAGCCTGGGCTGGCGGGTCCACTTCTTCAAGCCATAAAGTTGATGAGAACAGACTGCAAATGGGATCCTTGTTGGGAGAGTTAGAAAGCAATGCTCCATCTCAAGGGCTGGTGTGAGACGTGATGCATCTTACTGCGAATCTTAAAATTGATTACAGATTGAAACAAAGCTGTCTTGGGCCAATCAGGGTAAATACATAATTAAAATTAATTTCACCCATTTCTTTGACTCCTTTTTAAATGTGACAAGTAGGAAATGTCAACCTATGGGAGCGGGGCGTGGGGTACACATGAGTAATTCCAGCCCTCTGGGAAGCTGAGGCAGGAGGATCCCAAGTTCAAGCCCACTCTGGGCAACTTAGCGAGACCCTGTCTCAAATAATTAAATTGAAAAAAGGGTTGGGGATGTAGCTCAGTGCAAAAGCCCTGGGTTGGATCCCCAGTAGCAAAACAAAACAAAACACAACAGTGTAGCCATGGGGCTCACGATGTGCATCTAGGGAGGGTAAGCAGCCTCATTGACCCCGTGGGGGGTGGCAAGTCCCCGGATGGAGAAAGACCCTGAGGAGCAGCCTTCACTGCCATTCAGAGCCTGGGCCCAATCCCTCCAGCACAGGGGCTGAGAGGGGTCCCTGGAGCCGTCCCAGGAATGTGGGTCCCTTTGGGCCTCAGTTTTCCCTTCGTGACATGGAAATCACCATGGCGACCACACAGGCTGCTCCCAGGGTTACAGGAGCTCGGCCACATGAGGCCATGGAACCCAGCCCAGAAGGGAGGTCGTGACTGTCCATCTTCCTTCCCAGTAACCCCCGTCCCAGCTCCCACGCTCCTGGCTGTGACTCCGGAAGGGAGGCGGGGACTGGAGAAGAAAGAAGAAAAAAGCAGGGACCGGGGATTTAGCTCAGTGGTTCCACCACCCGCCTAGCAAGCACAAGGTCCTGAGTTCAATGCCTAGTACCCCCCCAAAAAAAAAGAAAGAAGGAAGGAAAAAACAAAACAAAGGACTAAGCAACCAAAACCAGACACAATAAGCTTGCTGGCCACCAAACCAGCAGATAGCACCATGGTGGGTATCGGGGTGTCCCCCTGTCACAGGGTTCCACAGCCACCCTGTGCAGTTCCCAATGGCTGAGTGACAGCCGGCACCTGAACTTGGATGGCCTGCTGCAGTCTTCCTTCCTTCCTTTTTAGACAAAGTCTTACTGCATAGTCCAGGCTGGCCTTGAACTCACGGCGATCCTCCTGCCTCAGCCTCTCCAGTGCTGGGATCACAGGCCTGCACCACCACCCCTGGCTTGTGGCCATTCTTCCTTGCGGTCCCCGCTCCCCCTACCCCTCAGTTCCCACATCTCCTGGGGGCCAAGAATAGAGTCTGCAGCACCCCTGATGGCCACAGGGTCTCCTCCCCTTCCTGAGAGCAACCGGAAGCACCAAGCGTCCTGCAGCGTGCCAAGCCTTTGTGGGATGCGGGGGGGCACGAGAGACAGGGGACAGAGGTGACCCGTGGCCTTTCTTTCGCCTGTCCCCTGAGGCCTCCTGTACTCTGCCGGCCTGAAGCCCACCCAGGGCCACCGCTCAGCCCGAGCCGGTGCGGAACCCTTTTATTACCCATAAACCCATTGGGGTTTGCCACATCCTCCCGCAAGGAGGGGCCGGGCAAAGAGCAGAGATTAGAGGTCCCAGACTGGCACTGAGATCAGAGGTGGGGAGGAGTGGCTGGGGAGGCTCATCTGGGCCTTCAAGAGTGTGGGGACCCGAAAGGCCCACATCTGCGGGACCGTGACCCTAACGGGGGGGGATGTTGCTAAGCCTCCCTGGGACAGAGGCTCCCTCTGGGATCCTGCTCCACCAGGTCTTCCTCATCCCCAAAGCCAGGGTGTGCTAGAGTCAGGTTTTCCTGGTTCAGATCCTGGCTACGCCCCATTTGACAGCTGTGTGACCCTGGCCAAATTCTTCACCCTCTCTGGGCCTCACACTTGAAATGAGATGGCGGCACTTAATCATGCACCCAGGCTGGTCTCAGGTGGGCAGGTCACTGGGAGGATTAAGTGAGATAATACACACGCGCAACAGAGCCCTGGGCTGTGTCCACGTCACCTCTGACAGCAGCTGCCTGTCCCACCTGCCTCCTGCATCTGTCCCTCCTCAAGCTTTTCTTTTATTCTTATGACATCTTTTAGCCCACTGGAAGTACACAGGCTGAGTGGAACATACACCACTGATAAAGCACAGCGCATAACAGACACCTTGGTCTAAAACCTCGGGAGCAATGATCTCGTTACTTATTTCACAGCCCAAATTAAATTGTGGATGGCTTGTGTCCCACAGGCTGTCATCCGAAAACAATGTTTGATTTAGTTTTTCTTGTTCAGGGGCCTTAAAGTGCAATCAGGAGACAGGTGTGTGGTGGCGCACACCTGTGATCGCAGCACTCAGGAGGCCGAGGCGGGAGACTCGCCACAAGATCGGGGCTACATAGAGAGTTCCAGTGAGAGCCTGTCTCAAAAACAGCCAGCCCCGCAATCAATTCAGACAAAAGTGCAAGCAGGATCGCTGGACCCCGGGGTTACTGTCCGCCTAATGCCCACTGTAGGACCGCATGGGGCGGCACTTCCTGCGTTCCTGTGCCGCCCAGGATGCGCCTGATCGTCACAGTGGCCTCTGCCCTCGATGCCCGCCCCTCCCCGGCATGCCCGGCCCCTCCTCACCCGCCCCACAACCCTGACTCATGGCCCGCGTTGCCCAATCTCGCCTCCGTCCGTCCCTCCATTCATTCCGGCGGGTCCTTCTCACCCCCTCTGCTCCACACTGGGCCCCCGCAGGCCAGCACCAATGCGGACCCCGGCCCGGGCTGGGCACAGCCTTCCCCTGGCCTGGCCAAGAATCCTCAGTGCTGGCGTGAAGGCTCCGGGCCTGAGACCCATCCAGCCAGCGAAGGTCGCCCTGAGCAGAGGTTGCCCTGGAGGAGGAGAAGACACACGCAGGGACAGTGTGGATCCATCGGGCACGGATCGGCTGGGCCGGGCGGAGTGAGGGAAGCAGCAGGCTGATGCCAAGGCCTGAGCCGGTGGGGAACGACAGGCGGAGAGGCCACATCGGGCTTCCACTGGCCCTGGAGGGGGACAGATGCGGGGAGGACAGAGGGGGCTTCTGCTGCAGCCCCGCACCCCATTCCAAACCAGGGACCTCTACTGAGTATTTTACAAAGCTTTTGTAAGCTATCATGATGCATGGACGCAGGGGAGACCCGGAAGGGACTGCATAGGGGACAGCTGGGGACAGACATGGGGCTTAGACAGAGCCTCTTCGGGAATCCCTGTGGCAGAAAGCCAGTGCCAAGGCCTGGGGCAGGGAGCCTGATGTCACTCCACTGTCATCTGGGTGGATGGAATGCGGAAGATCACGGGGTGGGGTGGGGGCGAGGTCGGCACCCCAGGGCCTGGATGGGCTGGGAGAGGCAGCTCCGGACCCACTGGAGGCAGGGAGGCCCCCGGAGAGGATGAGGCTGGGCTGGGCTGGGGCCTGACTCAGGGACAGGATGCTGGGGCCACGGCAGGAGAAGCCACGCTGTGGGTTGCTGTGTGTGGGGCCTGGGCCGGGGCTTTGTAAAGGAACAGACCCCAGAATGGTGACGAAAGCCCCAAGAGCGACACCCTCCCGGGTCTGGGGCTGCGCAGCTGGAGGAGCCGGAGATGTCGTCATACACTGGGGGCTGAGACACCCGGTTCTGACAGTGTCCCAGGGGATGGGTCCTCACCACAAGCTCAGGAGGGCGAGGGCCTGGATCAAAGCCAGAAGAGCAGCTCCCAGTCCCTGGGGGTGCAGGGACTGTGCAGCCGAGCTGCTTTCTGAGGACACAAGGCAGAACCCTGGGCAGGAAGGGCAGAGAACCAAACATGGCCCCCTCACCCCACAGGCCCAGAGACGCTAGGAAGCTGGGCCAGGTCACACAGCGCTTGGTGGAGTTAACAGCCCTATCTCTGGAGTCCCCGCTCTGGGAAGGCCTCGTGGTGCCCTGGCTCCAGGGTGAGAGAGGGTCCAGCAGAGTACAGGGGTGAGGAAGAGGCAACCCTGTCCCTCTTCACAGCCCGGGCAGCTGGAGGTCCCCCCAGCACTGTGCTGTGTGATTACAGGCGGTCGACTGCCCTCTCTGGGCCTCTCCTGTTCCTGGGAGAAATGGAGCCCATGCAGAGGTACGTGGGGCACTCACCAAGGCCGTGGGAGAGGAAGAACGGCGAGCGTGGGTCACGGCCACTTCCCTGTCACGTCCCCTTTCCCTCAGTTTCCCCACCTGGGAAGCAGGTGCTCCGCAGGTGTCTGACTCACCGGGCGCTCCCGGGAGGTGGAAGGCTCTGTCCTCACCTCTCCCCACGGGCCTCACCTCCCAGGGCACAGCTTCCCCCTCAGGGACACCAGGCGTCCCCACCCTACCCTCCTGGCTCTGCCATCCCCCCAGGCCAGGCAGGGGGCATCCTCACCGCTTTTTGTTTTGTTCTATTTTAATTTGGAGACAGCCCCACTATGGAGCCCAGGCTGGCCTCGAACTTGTGGCAATCCTCCCACCGCCGCCTCCGGAGTGCTGAGATTGCAGGTGCGCGCCACCTCCCCGGCCACCACCCTCCGCTTTCAGGGCTGTGGAGGGGTGTACTTGGGAAGAACGGGGCGAAACAAGCCCTTGGGTTTGCTGGGAAGCTCCTGGGCACCACACGCCCTCCAGGCGGCTGTGGGCCCCTCGCACGGAGCAGCAAGCGAGGCTGGGGTGGCTCAGTGCCAACGGCCCCGCTCCCTTCCCCAGCTCCGACCCTGTCCCCGAGCTCCCGGCCTCTCCGGCTGCCTCACCTCATCTCCGAGACCTGCACCAACTTGTCCAACATCACCCCGGCTGCGGGCCCGTCCATGGCGGTGGGTGAAGGGCAGGAGCAGAGGAGCTGGCGGCCAGTTGTGCGCAGCCCGCGTCTGTCGCCCAGCGAGCGCCAGGTGCCGGC